CCTCCTCCTGCCCTGCCCTGGGCTCTGCAGAGCTGTTCCTCTCACATATTCCCATTCCTCTCCTCTCTGCACCCAATTCCATCGGGGCAGGAACCTTTTCCTTTTGGCTGTGTTATCCCAGAGGGGTTCCCACCATCTCTGCTGGCTCAGCCTCGGCCAGCGGCGGGTCCGTCCTGGAGCAGCTGGAATTGGCTCCATGGACACGGGGGAAGCTTCTGGCAGCTTCTCCCAGACCACACCCCAACCCCCCCTACCAAACCCTGTCACACCAACCCCCTCCAGAGCAGGGCAGTGCCAGCTGTGCCGATGGTTGTGTTTGCCGTTCCAGCTGTGCTGATGTTGTGTTTGCCGTTCCAGCTGTGCCGATGGTTGTGTTTGGTGTTCCAGCTGTGCTGATGTCCATGTTTGCCATCCCAGCTGTGCTGATGGTTGTGTTTGCCATTCCAGCTGTGCTGATGGTTGTGTTTGCCATTCCAGCTGTGCTGATGGTTGTGTTTGGTGTTCCAGCTGTGCTGATGTCCGTGTTTGCCATTCCAGCTGTGCTGATGGTTGTGTTTGCCATTCCAGCTGTGCTGATGGTTGTGTTTGGTGTTCCAGCTGTGCTGATGTCCGTGTTTGCCATTCCAGCTGTGCTGACAGCCCCCTTTGCCGTTGCAGGTGCGTGTTACTATGACCCCAACCAGTCCATGTACGTGTTCGGGGGCTGCACCCAGAGCAGCTGCAATGCTGCCTTCAACGACCTGTGGAGACTCGACCTCAACAGCAAGGAGTGGATCCGGCCCCTGGCGTCAGGTGAGACCAGCCCTGGCCCCAGCCCCTCTCCTGGCTGCTCCCATTTAGTGTTTGCATGGGGGTTTGTCGCTGTCTGCTGGTTTTGGGTTGTGTGGGTGTCCCTGTGTTGGCAGCACCCCCTGGGGTTGGGTTGCTCTGGAGCAGCTGCAGTTCCTGTCCCGGCGTGAGGGACATTTGCTGAGCTGGGAGAGCCTGCCTTGCTAAGGCTGAGGAAATTGGGATTGTTCAGCCTGGAGAAGGTCAAGAGAGTTGGGATTGTTGAGCCTGGAGAAGAGGAGGCTCCAGGGACACCTCAGAGCCCCTTCCAGTGCCTGAAGGGGCTCCAAGAGAGCTGGAGAGGGACTGGGGACAAGGGATGGAGGGACAGGACACAGGGAATGGTTTTAAAGTAAAAGAGGGGAAATTTAGATGGATATTGGGAATAAATCCCTGTCTGTGAGGGTAGGCAGGCCCTGGCACAGGGTGTCCAGGGAAGCTGTGGCTGCCCCAGCCCTGGGAGTGTCCAAGGCCAGGCTGGAGCAGCATGGGCTGGTAGAAGGTGTGGAACTGGATAAGCTTTAAGATCCCATTCTGTGATTCCACCATAAGAGTTATCCCAAAGCTGAGATTTCCCTTCTGACTCCAGCAGGTGCCACTGGGGGTGTTTGAGGGGTGGAGGAGATGAGGGGGCTGTGGGGAGGCAGGTCCATCCCTGCAGGCCCTGTGTCCTCAGCAGGCAGGGAAGCACCACAGAGCATCTCCCACCCTGGTGCTGGTGCTCGGTGTCACCCAGGGCACACTCGTGTTCCTCGTGAATTCAACTGAAATGACCTGGAAAAAGGCAAAGAACTGGGCAAGCTCCTGGGGCAGGAGGGAAGTCGGGGTGAAACCAGGTGTTTTGGGAAAGGTTTGACCATTAACCAAGAGCAGGGAGGAGGAAAGGAGCTCAGCACCCAGCACAGCCAGGCCCTGCTCCACAGGCTCTGTGGGTTCCTCGGTTATTTGCTCGTCTGACACTTGAAGGCCTCCCAAATCCAGATGTTTCCATGTCCTGGTGTTAGCTGGGGAATTTCCTGCTGTCCCTTTGAACTGTTAACACATCCCTTGGTGCTTGGATATCAGCCCACACTGCACTTGCAGGAGCAGCTCTGCTTGAGGGGATGACCCTCCTGGAAGGTTCTTCTGGAGCTTTTTTTTTCTGGAGATTTTATGGAAGTCAGGGCAGCCTGGCTGCTTTTCTCCCATCCAAACCCAGGGGGGAAAGAAAATGATCTTTGTTTTTCACCCCAAACCACGATTTTGATCTGACTTTGGCCTCACACAGCCCCGTGTGACACCCACGGGGGGTGATGATTAAAGGAGGGAGAAAACAAAGCTCAGCCTTCCCATGGAGGTGGAGACTGGGTCGCTGGACTGGAGCGTTTTCCCACTGCCCAGGGGTGGAGAGGAGCAGCACAGACAGGATCCTGGGAGCTCTGGGAGCTCAGCCCTCTGCTCTGACCTGGCCTTCCATTCCCACTGCCCAGCGAGTTCTTCCCTGGGCTGAATGTGGGGCACGACCGGCCCCGCTCGGGCACCCCGGCCTCCCAGAGCACCCTGCACCACCTCCCTGGCCACTCACACTCCTGAAAGGAGTCCTGTGGGAATGTGTGGCGGAGTGAAGTCCCACGGGAAGATCCCCCGGGGAGATGTTTGTGCGCGTTGTCAGGAGCGAGATGGGATCGCAGCTGGAACGCCGGGCACGGGCAGCGCTCCCGCTCTGCCAGGGCCATGAGTCACCCCCTGCAGCCCTGGCTGCTCCTCACTCCTGCCCTGAGCCAGAGGGTTGGCATGGGCTGCCTGGGAAAGATTAGTGACTGGAGGGGGCAAAAGGGAGAGCTTTGAAATCCGGGATTGGGATGGGAATGAGGCGGGAGGGGTTGGATTGTAAACCAAGAGCTGACGTTGATTGATGAACTCTCATTACGTGGGTCCCTAATTGCTGGTGCAGGTGGAGGAGGAGTTCCCACACCTGCCCTGTGGGCTCTGGAGGGTTTTGCTCCAGAGGGAGGCACCGGCTCTTTCCCAAGGCCAGTCCTCCCTCGGAGAGGTTCCATCCCACTCCACGTGTTCCTTCGTTCAGTGTCCTATCTAATGATCCTTTGGAATGGGAGTGTGGTGCCTCAGCTGAGCTGGAACATTTTCATCCCCTTCCCTTCTCTGAGAGGCTTTTCCAGGAGAAAACACCCTTGTTGTTGTTGTTGTTGTTATTGTTGTTGTTGTTGTGTGTTCCTGCCTGTTTTCGTTGGGGTTTTCTGGCTCCCAGGCATTCCATGACATCAGAGCTGGATAATTCATCTCCAGCCTGAGCTGCTCTGCTTCAGCTGGGAGTAAATATTTAGCCTTCAAAGAGATAATTGCCCTGGGTTTCTTTAGTCTCAGAGACGGAGGAGGGAGATTATTACATCAAAAAACCCTAATTTTTGAGGTTTCAGAGTAATTTTTTTGCTTGGATCTGAAACAATGGCCTTGACTCGTGACTGAGGAGGCTGGAGCAGCACGAGGGAGTTGCTGCCTGGCTTTTATGGAGAGCTTTTGGTGGGGCTGCGTGCCCTGGGAAGGAGGGTGTGAGGCAGCAGGATCCCTGTTTTGGGAAGGTTCCTCCCAGCTCTTCTCCCTCAGGCTCTCCAGGCCCCCCTGGAGCTGCTTCCCAGCCCTTCCACTCCCACATCCAAGTCCTGCTGGAGCAGGAGGGGGGTCACTGAGGCCCCACTGTGTGGGAAGCTGCAGAGTTAGCCCAGGGTAGGTGGTCCCTGGGAGGAGGGTGCCTTTGTCCACGTGCTGGGGGTGCTTTCTTGCCTTCATTTGCATAATTAATTAACCTGCGCAGTTGTTGGAATTTGAGCCCATCCCTGCCCAGGAGGTCCTGATGGAGGGCTGGGGGTGGTTTGTGCTGGAGTCTGTTTATCCAGCTGGAGGCAAGGGTTAGGCCCCACAAGGTTTCAGTGGTGATAGTGCCTGGTGCTCCCCAAAAATGAGCTGGAACAGCCAGGAAAGAAACCAAGATCCATTTGGAACAGACACTCCCAGGACTTTCAGTACCTGAACGGGCTCCAGGGAGCTGGAGAAGGACTTGGGACAAGGGATGGAGTGACAGGACAAGGGAATGGCTTCCCACTGCCAGAGGGCAGGGATAGATGGGAGATTGGGAAGGAATTCCTCCCTGGGAGGGTGGGCAGGCCCTGGCACAGGTTGGGCAGAGAAGCTGTGGCTGCCCCAGCCCTGGAAGTGTCCAAGGCCAGGTTGGAGCAGCCTGGGACAGTGGAAGGTGTCCCTACCCATGGCAGGGGTGGCACTGGATGAGCTTTAAGGTCCCTGCCAACCCAACCCCTCCTGGCAGTCTGTGCTCAGTGCCAGTGGAGCTGCAGGGTCTGTGGGGAGGCCTCTGCCAGGAGGGAGCTGATCCCTGGATTTGGCTGAGCTGGGATCCAGCCCTGGGTCCCCTGGTGGCAGGGCAGGGCTGTCACACACCCTTGGGCATTTCCCTTCCATCTCTGTGCCACGACAGCTCCTGGAAGGCTTGGAAGCAGAGACCTTCAGCCTGAAGTTCTGCACTTCCAACCTCCTGGGTGGCCTTAAGAGCAGGCAGAGTGTGCCAACACCCACCCCTGCTGGTTCCTCTGGGCTCCCTCCCTCCCCAGCTCCTCTCCCTGCTTGGAGTGGCAGTTTGAGGATCAGGTTTCCCTTTGTGAGCTGAGGGGAAGGTGCCTTTGATGGTGTTGTGTCAACAAAACCAGCAGCCTGAAGGAGGAAGGGGAGGCTCAGGAGACCCCGAGGGGGTGGCAGGGGGTGCTCTCAGATGTGGTGGTGGGAGGCTGGAGCAGGAACCTCCCTGTCTGTCATGGGGCAGAGGGGTTTGGCCTTGACAAAGCTGCACAAAAGCCTTGCCCCCAGCCAAAGAAACCAGCCTTGTTTTCATCATCTCCCTGGGGAAAGCAGTGGGGACTTTTCAAAGCAGGTTTCGGAGCCTTGGTGGAGGTTTGTGGTGCCGGTCCTGCTCTGCAGTGAACTGCCCTGGGTGGTGCCTCCTGAGCAGTGGGAGCTGTGTGGGGCTGAAGGGAGGAGGTGAAGCACTGGGCTCCCCAGGGACATCCCACCAATCCCCAGCTCTCCACAGCCACAAACCACCTGACACTCGTGGCAGGAATCACAGGCAGGGCCGAGGCTGCCCGAGGGCTCAGGGATTCTGCAGGAAAACAGCCCTGGGAGTGGTGGGAAACTCCTCATGTGTGGATTGAAACCCTCTGTGGCTGAGGGTTGTGCAGCTTGTTCAGCCCTTGGGCGTGTTCTGCCTCTTCTTTGCATCAGCTGTATCCAGCTGAACCCAGGGAGGACACAGAGGGGCTGGAGCGTGGGCAGGGAAAGGAACGGAGCTGGGAAGGGGCTGGAGCAGCAGGAGGGGCTGAGGGAGCTGGGGGGGCTCAGCCTGGAGAAAAGGAGGCTGGTGGTTGGAAAGGCTTTACTTCTGAAGCCTCAATTCTTCAGCTGGTCAGTGTGGAGGGAAATGGATGTGGATTTACCACGACCAGGGGGAAAATATTCCCATGTCTCCTATCCCTGAATCCCACAATGGAAACCACCACCCCTTCCTCCACCCATTCCTGACTGGCTGCGTCCTGCCCTTCATCCCAGCTGGCTCTGAGGTATTCCCACAGCATTCCCAATTGCTCCCAGTATCTGCAGAGGCCATAAAGTCAATCCATAACTTCATTCCCCTCCTCCAGGTTGGGATGGGGGGACAGAGCCAGCTCAGCTCAGACAAGGTGTGCCTGCTCCTCCCATCCGTGGACAGCGGGATGCCACTGGCTCCCGCAGGAATGTGGGGCTGCAGGCACGAAGGGCTTTGAAGAAGCCAATCTGCCTGCACACAGAGGTGGGAATGAGCCAAGGGGGTGGGAATGTGCCCAGGAATTAGGAATGTGCCCAGGAATTGGGAATGTGCCCAGGAATTGGGAACGTGCCCAGGACTTGGGGCTGTGGTG